TTTCTGAATGAACATCCGAATTTAAGAAGGGAATAGAAAGTTTAAAAAAATACTTGGAAGGAATTGGAATTAAATTGGAGAAATAAGACTTTAATAGTTGCAACTTCCTTTTCATGATTCAAATGCTGTTTACTAATTTTTAAGGAGACCTGAAGAGGAAATGAAATAGAGAGTTCAGGATCAATAAGTTGTTGTTTTGTTTTGTTTGTTTTTTCTGGAAGAATGTCAAGGTTTGGAGTAATTCTATGAGATAAATTTTTTTAAAGTAACTATATGGAAGAGCAGTTTCCTTTTTATCTAGAGGGAAAATGATCTTAATCTTAGAAGTGGGTTTTTCCTCTAAGGTTTTTTGAGTCTCTATTATTGCTTAGATAATAAGATTCAGTCTTCAAAGTCTATTCCTAAGCAGTGTAATGTTCCCTCAGAAGTGTACTTGCTGGTATACTCTGTTGAGTTGGAACTACAGCTCTCTCTCTACTCTACTGGTTGATGAAAAAAAAAATTTATTACTATATAATTAAAGTATTTTTCCCTTGGGTTTTTCTTGTTTTGTTTGTTTATTTGTTCCCCCCCCCCTTGATTTTTAAAGTAATAGAAACTCTCTGAATTGAGTATTAGCAATGCAAGGAGATACACAGAAATACTAGAATAAACAAATTCATTGTTCGAATTGCTAGGATAGAGCTCATGCCATACATAGTTACTTTTTCCTTTTCAAACACAGAAATAAATTTAAATATATACTTTTTAAATTTTTATTATTATTAATTTTAATGAAAATTTACAGAGACTTTTGATTTTCATTCATTTATTGTTGCACTTTTCTCCCTGCTCTGCCTCCTCCCCTTCCCTTTGAAAAGTAAAAGACAAATTCTTTCATTGTTTTACAGTCCCTTCCCCCAGGTCCACCTCACTATTTGTTCTGGACTCCTGTCATGACAATAATATCTAATCACATATCCCTTTTAAACAATTTTCTCCCTCATCTGTTTCAGTGTAGTATACATTATTTATCGCATCTTTTTCAGTCTCCCCCCACCAAACCCGATGTCAGTCCTGTTTTACAACAGTGGCAGTATTTGTCCTTTTGTGACTGAGATATTTCACTCAGCATAATGTCCTCTGGGGTTACTCATTTTGAATAATATTGTATGAGTTTCTTGTTTTTCAATGCAGCGTAGTACTCCATTGTGTGAATATACCACGGCTTCTCTATCCATTTGTTTCTTGGTTTTTCCCCAACTCCTTGCTATTGTGAACAAAGCCGTGATAAACATGGTTGTGCATGTATCTGGTTGGGTGGCAGTTATGCTTTCTTTGGGGTATGTTCCCAGTAGTGGAATTGCTGGGTCCAATGGTTTCTATAGAAATCGCCACATCACCTTCCACAGTGGTTGCACCATTTTGTACTTCCACTAACAGTGAATAAGGATTCCACTTCTCCACAACCTCGCTAGCATTTGTTGCTTGCTATTCTGTTAAATTTTGCTATTCTGACTGGGGTGAGATGATATCTCACAGTTGTTTTGATTTGTATCTCTCTTAGAGCTAGGGATTTTTAACATTTCTTCATGTGCTTGTTGGTCATCTAAGTGTCATCTTTGGTGAAATGTCTGTTGATATCCTGTGCCCATTTTCAGTTGGATTTATCTTGTTGTAGTGCTCAAGTATTTTATAAATCCTAGATATAAGTCCCTTATCTGACGTCTTACTACCAAATACTTTTTCCCAGTCTGTGGCTTCCCTTTTTACCCTGTTGATAAAGTTTTTGGATGTTCATAGGGATTTGATTCTTCAAAGGTCCCATTCATCTATTTTATCTTCTGGTTGTAGATTTTTCAGGATGCTTGGAAAACTGTTTATATTGTAGATTAGGCCTTCTAGAGTTCTTCCAAGCTTTTCTTTAATGAAGTTTATAGTCCTTAGTTTTAGTCCTAGATCCGTGATCCACCTAGAGTTAGTCTTTGTGTATGGAGTGAGGTGTGGATCTTTTTTTTTTTTTTAAGTGTGGATCTTGCTTGAGTCTTCTGCAGATAGTTTTCCAATTTTGCCAACACTGTTTGTTAGAAAGGGCTGTTGTTTATCCTCTTAACTGATTTCATCTACTTGTCAAAAATCAGTTGACCATAGGTAGACGGGCTGATTTCTGGGTTCTCAATTCTGTTCCATTGATCTATGTGTCTGTCATTGTACCAGTACCATGCTGTCTTAACCACCACAGCAGTGTAGTAGTATTTGAAATCAGGGCATGCAATGCCTCCTACCTTGTTTCTATTTTTAAAGAGTGCTTTGCTTATTTGGGGCTTCATTCCAAATGAAACTAGAGATTGCCTTTTCCATCTCATTGAAGAATGGGATTGGTATTTGTATTGGAATTGCATTGAATGTGTAAATTGCCTTTGGTAGTATTGCCATTTTTACAAAATTGAGTCTTCCTATCCATGAGCAAGGGATATTCTTCCACTTCTTCAGGTCTCTTTTTGTTTCTTTTTTTTTTAATTTTGTGTGCATGTACCGTCAAATCAGATCTGACTGGTACAGGAGGATATTGCGCCTCCTTCTCCGGCAGAGCGTCGGGTGGATTCGAACCGTGTTCCTCTGGGATTGCAGTGCAGTTTCTTGCCACTAGGCCACCAGAGCTCCCCTTCTTTTTGTTTCTTGTAGTGATGTTTTGTAATTTTCTTTGAATAGATCCTTTGTGCTTCTGGTTAGATTTACTTCCAAGTATTTAATCTTGTGATTAGCTATTATGAAGGGTATTGTTTTTTTTAGTTCTGGCTCTGTATTCTCTTTGTCACTGTAGAGAAATCCAACTGATTTTTGGTGGTTTTTGTTTGCTTGTTTTTTTATTTCTTTTATTTCATAATTTTTTGTGTGTACCGTCAAATAGATCTAACTGGTACAGAAGGAGATTGTTCCTCCTTCTCCAGCAGAGCGTCTGGTGGATTTGAACCGTGCATCTCTGAGATTGCAGCCAACTGATTTTTGTATGTTTATCTTGTAGCCTGCTACTTTGCTGAATTGGTCAACTATGTCCAATAGTTTTCTTGCTGAGTCTTTAGGGTTTTCTAAGTATACTATCATATCGTTTGCATAGAGCGATAATTTTACCCCCTCTTTACTAATTTGGATACCTCTTACTTAATTCTTTCTTTTGTCTTATTGCTAATGCTGAGACTTCCAATACAATATTGAATAAGAGAGGTGATAGTGGGCATCCTTGCCCAGTTCCTGTTCTTAAAGGGAATGCCTTTAACCTCTCTCCACTGAAAAGGATGTTGGCTCTCGGGTTTGCATAAATACTTTACAATGTTGAAGAAATTCTCCTCTAATCCTATTTTTTTCTGTTTTTTTTAAATTTTATTACTTTTTATGAACATTTACAGAGATTTTGGATTTCCATTTATTCATTGTTGCACTTTTCTCTACCTCCCCCCCTCCCCAGTTCGTTCCTCTCTTTGAAAAGCAAAAGATAAACTTCTTCATTGGTATACTACCCCCTGCCCGTCCCCCCCCCCCGCCTCCCCCCCTGCACTCCACTATGCAACCTTAATTCAGGTTTGTTCAGTGTTTTAATCAGGAAAGGGTGTTGGATTTTGTCAAAGGCCTTTTCTGCATTAATTGATAGGCTCATGTGGTTCTTGTTCTTTACTTTGTTAAAAATATACTTTTTTTAAAAGCAGTGTAAAAGTTCTTTTCCCATTGAAAGTGCACATGAAACTCCAGTGCATAACACATTTGCAAGTAGATCACTGTTATTGAAGCAGGGCTGTCAATCCCTAGAATCATCTTTCACCAGTCACTTCATGGATACTGCCAAAAAGCCTGAGAACTCTAAGTGATAGTTTGAAAACCCAAATGTAACTAAGAAAGATTAAGTGACATACTAAAGCTCACAACAGTTCATTGGCAGAATCAGAACAAAACATTAGAATATTTTACTGCGGTTTATGATTCATTTCTACTATGCCCACATCAAGAGCTGTTTCCTGTTACAAAACTCTATTATTGGCTTTTTATTAGCTTATTGTTATAAAGCAGTTAAGATAGCAGATTTAAAAGATTTTTTTAAGAAATATATTTTGTTGTTGCTGAGAACATACACAACAGAATATACACGAATACAGCAATTCGTACGTGTGTAGTTTATTGGCATTGATTAGACTCAGTGAATGGTGCAGCCATTGTCACTTCTTTTTGGCATCAAGTCACTGTCTGCACCCAGGGTTTTGATACAGTCTTTTGAGTTGTCATCTGAAACCTTATAGATAATTAATTAGAGAACATGGTGCCCAAGGCAAACTTTTTTTTTACTATTTCAACTAGACTGTTGTTCAATTTTAAGACTTTAGGGATATTTTTTAATTTGTATTTAAAGCTTATTGTCTCTAGACATTTGGTTGAGAAGTTCATCCAGTCCTTTTGTTTCCCAAAAGTCTGGAGTCCATGACAGTTTGAAATTCTATTCCATATTTCCTGTCTTTTGATCAAGATTCTTCTGTGCAATCTTTGATCAATATATTCAGTAATAGTAGCTGGCCATGAAGCAGTTCTGGGAGGCAGTTAGCCACACGTTCTAGAACCTCCTCCAGTTCCTGAATTTCTGCTCTTGTTCCAGATGAATATAGATAATTGCTCCTTGAATGGCAGCTTGCAAGCTTTTTATTATTATTGTTGTTATTATTATTAATTGCAATGAACATCTACAGAGATTTTGGAATTCCATTCATTCATTGTTGCACTTTTCTCCCCACCCACTCACCCCCACCCCCACCCCCCGGTCGCTCCTCTCCTTGAAAAGCAAAAGAAAAACTCCTTCATTGGTACACAACCTCCCCTCCCCCGCACCTCCCCACTCCCATCCCAAGTATACTCCACTCTGCAACCTTCATTCTGGACTCTTATGATAATCATAATGCCCTTAAAATATATTAATTTTAAACTGTTTTCTCCCTCGTCGGCTTCAATGCCAAGCTTATGACATTAAGTGATAGAACAGTTACATTACTAGGCCAAATAACTAGGATGTCTCATGAAATCCTATTACTAACTCTCCGAGGTGCCACGTGTATTTGGTTGTACATAAGCAGCCTCAGCAAGCACTGTTTTGTGTTTTTGTAAAAATACCTGTCATTCAACTTTTATGATTCAACTTTTTATAGGTGTACAACTTATTGTCAGCAATTACAGTAACTGACTGTAGTTTTACCCTTAATGTGATTTCCCCGCCCCCCCCTCCCCATTATTATTAATCCTCTCTGCCTGCTTCCTATCCCTGATAACTGCTATTAAACTTTGGTCTCAGTATATTTGCCTTTTCTTGGCTTTTATGTAAATTGAGATGTAAAATATTTGCCATTTTTTATTCTCTTATTTTGTTCAGCATGTCTTCAAGCTCCATCTGTGGCATGTAAAAAGATTTGATTTCTCACTCCTGACTCACTGTCTCTGTGCACTACCTTTTGTTTATCCATTTATCTGATGATGATGTTTAGATTCTTTCTATATTTTGGGCTGTTGTGAGTAGTGTTGCAGTGAATTGATGTACAAGTCTCTTTCTGAGTCTCTTCTTTCAAATCTTTTGGGTATATACTGAAGAGTGTAATTGTTGGCTTATATGCTCATATGGTTTTTTCGAGGAACCACCATCTTGTTTTCAGCAGCACCTGTAGCATTTTGTGTGCATACCAGCAATAAGTAAGGCTTTTAGTTTCTCCATATCCTTACCAGCATTTGCTTTTTCTATGTTTTTGTTTGTTCTTTGTTTTAGTCTTAGTCATCCAGGTGGGCGTTTAAGTGTAACAGTAACTCATTACAGTTTTGATTTGCTTGCCTCTGATGACCAGTGATGCGTAATCTTTTCTTGGGTTTGGTGGCCATGTGAATGTTCTCTTTGGTAAAATGTCTATTCAAGTCTTTTGTTCATTTCATGACTGGATTATTTGGGGTTGTTTGCTACTAAGATTATAAAATCTTTACAGTAAACTTTTAAATAAGTAATCTGGTATTTTAAGCATTAACATATGTCTGTCTGGTTTTCATAGTTTTCCCTCCTCTTTCAGGAAGAAGATGGATAAAGCAGATGTTTATTGGGGCATTTCTGATCCCTGCTATGGTTTGCGGCACTGCCTTCTTCATCAATTTTATAGCCATTTATTACCACGCTTCAAGAGCAATTCCTTTTGGAACAATGGTAAGTTGCTTGATTCTTCCTTTTAAGCTGTAAAAGCCCAACCATCTTACTATCAGTCTTGACATTTCCCCTTTGTGGCTCTTATTAACCATTTCAGTAATTTGAGCCAGTCCTGGAGAGTTACGTAAGGGAAGAACTGCTCTTCTTCTCTTCTTTGGCATTTTGTTTAAGTTTAAAGCCACATTTGCCCTTTTTCTTTTTATTTCTTTCTGTGAGCCCTTTAAGTGAAAGACCAAGATAAGCCTGACAAAAGAGAATATTGTAGGGGATTTTTCTAGAGATGGGAGAAACCAGTGAGTATATTTTAGTGAAATAATAATAACACACAATTGTACATTTTATCACTTTGTCAAGAGTGATTTTAAATTAATATTCATTGTTATGCGACCTCTTACAGGTAGAGTTGTTTTTAACTTGCAGTAGATGGGGAAACTATTAGCCTAGTGTAAGCTCTTCCCACTGCCTGATTTCATTTTCTTCTGTCCATGGAGAGAGATTAGGAGGCTGGATAAAGGGTTTGTCTTGGTTTGATTCCAGAGTTGTCATCAGTGTATGAAAGATTTTTGTTTATGTATTTATTTGAACTCTTCGTGCTCATTGGCTCGCTAACCTCAAGTCAGAACTGACTGACAGTTTACCGGCCAGTGAGTTTTCAGAGGCTCTACATTGCATCAGAGGGGATTGCCCAACTGTGTTCCATGGAGCAGCTGGTGGATTTGAGCTGATGGCCTTTGGGTTGACTGTGCAGCTTCTTACTCCGTAGGCCACCAGAGTTTCCTTTTTAATTATTATATACTGTATTTAATTTTAAGAAGCCCAATTTAGAAAACAGGAATAATATGTATTAGTAAAAATATATTTGCAAATTCAAATTTTTTAAATTCTTACATCTAATCAGAATAATAAAATTATGATAAATACAAATATAGTATCAAAGGATGAGTAAGAGTTTTGTTTTCTTTCCCCAGCTACCAACAAATTATGCCACTAGAGCTCCCCTTTAAAAATATTTTTAAAGAACTGTTTTCAGTACTATATTATATTAGCATAAATTGAGTCCTAAGTCTAGTCTCATTTACAACAGGATTACAGATCTCTCTTTTAACTCTTACATATTTATACAAGTCTTTTCTGAAAGAGAATGATAGATAGATACCCTTTGCATTATGTAAATTTTTTTAAAAAATATACATGAAAGAATGTACTAGACATTTAGAGTTTTCAGTCTTGTTGCTTCAGATAGATTCTTTGATTCTCCTGAAATCACTGTGGATTTTCTGGACCATACCTTTTAATTTCTTTATAATTTTTACTCTACTTTTCCCTCACTTTTACTTTCTGTTTATGTAAAGCACAGAATAGGTGATTTAAAAGTGGTCCTAATGGTGATTCCTTCCTACTCTATTTTATTGCAGTTAAGAGTGAAGTAATCTCAACTAGGCGCTGACTGAGAGAGCTCAAATGTATGGTGTGACTTTTGTGTATTAGATTTGCATAAAAGGAGAAAAAAATTAAAGAAAAATATTTTCCTAACTGACCACTTGAATTCTACTCTTTGAACTACTAAATAGACTTGTGTAATTTTAGAATGATAGAGCTAAAATTCAATTATTAAAAAAACTCTGTCAGGGCCTACTCAGTGTAGCGACCTTAAAGGCTGTCACCAAAGTCCAGAAAACAAACAAACAAACAAAAAAAACAAAACTCTGGTCCTTATCGTGTTGCACTACTAGCTAAAGGTTCACATCTCTGACAGTTTGAATCCACTTCGATTCAGAAAGATGGGCAGTCCCCTCCCATTAAGGTTTACAGCCTGGGAAACCAGCTGGAGGGTCACTGTGAGTTGGGATCAGCTTGACGGTAGTGGGTTTGGTAATGTCATCTAGAAACAGAAAAATTAAAAGCATGGTTGTACAGACAAGCAGAGCTGAACTGAAATTTTAACCTGGCTACCTGCTTAGCCTCTTTGAGTCCGTAGAACAGGGAGATAACCTACATAAGGCTCGTTGAGCACTTTTAAGAGCTTTATAAAGTATTGTCCTTAAGTGCTGTCGAGATGTAAGCAACACATAGTTACTCTATGAACGAAAGTCCTCAACACTTGTATGACTTTCGTCCTTTCTCCAGGTTCATAGGGTTTCCGGAGGCAAGCTATCATGGAAGTGGATGCCACTCCTGCTTCCAAGCTTGTTTTAATTGGGGAGCGCCACCAAACACTGTCCACCATGGGTAACCATTATCGCATTTAACACATCAGGGTAGCTAAATAAATAAATTGTAATGATAAAAGGTAAAGATAGTTCTTTGCAAGCTTGACAACCAAAAGTGAAAAGAGGAGAAAGGATAATGTACAGATAATGTACAAATGGGGCAAATGGAGAACAAAAGGGAATGGAAATAGTTTGTATTGTTTTAATGATTTAATGAAAATCTGTCTTGGCAAAAGTACAGTAACAGCGCTCCTTGGTGAGACTTTGCCTCATTTACCTTGGACAAACCAGTATTATCAAGCCAGACTAGTCTCTGGAGAATGACATCATGCCTATTAAGTTGAGAGTCAGTGAAAAAGAATACTGTCCACAAAGTGGGTTGACACAGTGGCTGCAGGTGTGGGCTCAGACCCAGCAACAGTGATTGTGAAGAGGATACATTATGCTGTACGTAAGGTTGCTTTGAGTTGGAACTGATTCATCCGCACCTAAAAATGATGATGATGTTTTAAATCCATTCTAAACCTGTTTCTTACGGTCTGTGTTACACAGAAGGGAATTAGTGGTAAGGAATTGCACTGACACCCCTAAGGTGTGCGATTCAGGTACACCAGCTGCTCTGCAACGGAAGGATGGCAGTCGCTTCCTGTGCGATTTACAGCATCTGAAAACCCACAGAAGAGTCAGCTATGAGTTGTTTCTGACTCCATGGTACACCACAGCAACAAATCTTACACAATATTAAATACTTTTTAAACATAATCTTTTGTGATCTAATTGTATTACTTTCTTGTGTCTTTTATTTTTTAATATTGTTACCTGAGTAATCACATATAATTTTTATTTGCAGGTGGCTGTTTGTTGCATTTGTTTTTTTGTTATTCTTCCTCTGAATCTTGTTGGTACAATACTTGGCCGAAATCTGTCTGGTCAGCCCAACTTTCCTTGTCGTGTCAATGCTGTGCCTCGTCCTATACCAGAGAAAAAATGGTAAAGAGAATGTTAAGTCTTATTTTTCTATATTTTTTAAAAATTAATTTTAGTGAAAGTTTACAGAGACTTTGTATTTCCATTCATTCATTGTTGTACACTTTTCTCCCTCTACCCACCCCTCCCCCCAGTTAACTTTTTCTTTGAAAAGTAAAAAAAATTCTTTTCATTGTTAATACAATCCCACCCCCACTCCATTATGCAACTTTCATTCTGAACTCTAGTCATGACAATAATACCTCTCATATATCCCTTTTAAACAGTTCTCTCTTTCATCTGTTTCAATGTAGTATACATTATTTAAGAATGTTAAATCTTACCTAATTGTTTTTCATCATATTTAAGTTTACCTAATTTTTTTCCATCATATTTAAGTTCTTAAGATTTTTGTGTGTATTTTTAACTTTGGAGTTGACATGTATTTATAAGAATGGCTATCATAGGTCATTTAGAGTTTATTGTTTTTATTTTTTCCTTCAACCTACTTTGTAGTTATAGTAATTAAGTATATCACTGTTTCATTTCCTGAATTTTGGTGCCATTTACAAATAAGTTAAATGCTTTGATAAGTACACTAGTATGTAGAGGGTAAGTGGGAACTAAAATGCCTCCATACCAAATATGACCTGCTGCCTGTTTTTGTAAATATTATGACTGATACCATATTTTCTTTAGGCCTGAAATGTTTGCTCTCTGAGTCTTAAAAGAAAAAGTTTGCTAACCCAGCTTATTGTATGTATCATTTTCTTCTCCAGACATTTTAAAATTCTAAACCGTACTAATGATTTACTGATTTATAATCTTTATTTTTGCTTTGTTATCATATAACCCAGTGGAGGGTCAACTGTTGAGTTGGTTCCGATTCAGTGGTGATGTGTTTGAGTTTGATAACCTGTAAACCCATTGCCGTTAGTTAATTCTGACCTTGGAGAGAGTATAACTGCTCATAGGATTTCCATAAGTCTTTACAGAAGCAGACTGCTTTGTCTTTTCCCTGCAGAGTGGCTGCTGGGTTCTAACCTCCTTCTGATGAGAAGCTGACTTCCCCCCCCCCCTTTTTTTTAATTTTAATGAAAGTTTACAGAGACTTTTTATTTCCATTCATTCATTGTTGTACACTTTTCTCCCTGCCCACCCCGCCTCCCCAGTTCGCTTTTCTCTTTGGAAAGTAAAAAAAAGCCTCTGTCATTGTTATACAGTCACCCCCCCCCCCCAAGTCAACTCCATTATGCAGCTTTCATTCTGGACTCTTTTCATGCGAGTAATACCTAATCATATATTTTTCCTAAACATTTCTCTCCCTCATAGATTTCAATACAATATACATTATTTATCCCCCTTAGTTTTCCCCAAACCCAATGTCAGTCCTGATTTACAGCAGTGTCACTATACAGTATTTGTCCTGAGAGATTTCACTCAGCATAATGTCCTCCAAGGTCACCCATTTATAATATTATAGTAATTCGTTAATTCCTTGTTTTTCAATGCAGCATAGTATTCCATTGTGTGAATATACCACAGCTTCTCAAGCCATTTGTTTGTTGATGGGCACTTGGGTTGTTTCTAACTCTTTGCTATTGTGAACAAAGCCACAATAAACATGGGTGTGCATATATCTGCTTGGATGGTGGATATGGTCTCTTTAGGGTATATTCCCAGTAGTGGAATTGCTGGGTCAAATGGTATTTCTATTTCCAACTTTTTGAGAAAGCACCATATAGCCTTCCATAGTGGTTGCACCATTTTACACTTCCACCAACAGTGAATAAGCGTTCCAGTTTTTCCACAACCTCACCAGCATTTGCTGTTTGCTGATCTGTTGAATTTTGCTATTCTTACTGGAGTGAATTGATATAGTTGTTCTGAGCAGCAGACTTCTTTAACCACTGTGCCACCAGGGCTGCTTCTGTTTAAATAGTTTTCAGTCCTTTCTATATACTGTACATTTTTAGATTTTAATTTTTCTTTTTCCTAGTTCATTTCTGTCCTTTAGACATTATTTTAAATACCAAGGATCACTTTCTACTCTTCTATCAGGATTTTTTATAATAGAATAGTTAGTTACATGAGAAATTTACTATTTTAATTTTGTCATTTTCTAGGTTCATGGAGCCTGCAGTTATTGTTTGCCTGGGAGGAATTTTACCTTTTGGCTCAATCTTTATTGAAATGTGAGTTTGGTGAATGCATTTATTTGGTGACTGCATATATAGGTCTTTGATTATAGTAAGAGAATTTAAGAGTTATGGTATAGGTATAAAATTAGCTCATTTATTAACTGATGAAGTTAGTCTGTTAATTCCACAGTGCTCATAAAGAGTTCTGTGTAGGATATCTGAAAAAAGTTCTTAGCCCAATTCTCAAGTATTCAGGTAAAGTTTATATTTTCTTTTATATTGCATTTTAGACCTGTCTCACCTAACAGGAGATCTTAGAAATGAAAACATGCATGATAGAGGATGTAGACCAGCCTTTGACTACATGCATGATGTAAGGAAGTACTGATTTAGTTAAGTTTTTTTTAAATATTTTTCAAGTCCAAAGAACAATAGAAATCATCACGTACTAGTTATTCTAGATAAGGACCGTTTTGATCCATAGTTACTCTTTTCCTCTTTCCATCGAGTCCTACAGAAGAGGTGGCAGGTATGTACATGTTTGGAGGGGGGCGATAGGCCACCTTGTACACTGTTTATTTCTTCATACCTGTATTTCTTCATACTTGTATAGTTGGTCACTACTGCAAAATAATTAGCCTTCTCACCCCCCCCCCCAAATTATGTGTCATAATATTCCTTGATGAGAACTTTGAGCATTTTAGATGAGGCATTTCATTGTTGGAGACTTTGCTAAGTGTTGCAGTCATGTATTTCTGGTTCCTGTCCCTAAATGGCAGTCACTGTGACAACTCAAAATACCCATATATATTTGTTGACGCCTCACTGCTGATGCCCTCCTGTTCAGTGCAGCCTTCCTTAGCGTGCTGGTAATTGATTGAAAAAGAATTGGCTCATGTAAGAGAATTTTAGAAAGCAACCAAAAAACATGTACAACGCTTTTAAACTTAAGAGGCGAAAGATCCTGTGTGGAAAACAATGTATACGAATTTTGTAAGTAAACCAGGATAAAATTTAAAAAAAACCAAAAAACAAAACAAAAAAACCCACCCAGTTTTTTTCTTTCTTTTTCCTTTTTTTAAAAATATAATAGCAAGGGGAGCTCTTGTGGCCTAGTGGCAAGAAGCTGCACTGCAGTCCGAGAGATAATGTGGTTCAAATCCACCAGGTGCTCTGCCGGAGGAGGGGCAATCTCCTCCTATACCAGTCAGATCTGATTTGATGGTACACACACACGCACATGCACACGCACACACACAATAATAAAATTAAAAAAAATAATAGCAAAGCTTTTTCTTGAATATCAGCTGATTTTAATTTCCATCATTTGGATTACTCTCCAAGCGCCTCACCCCTGTGTGCCTTATCTGATTCTACCCACTAACCCAGTCATACCAAACCAAGCTGCTGAGATGCTTCTCCTCTGTGTATTAGTTAAACATACATCACAAATTACCAAAATTGCTTCACTGTTTTTCCCCAATAGACAGTGATAATCTTTTAGGAGTAGAGATTTTGTCATCATTAGTTCTTGCTGCTTCTCTACTTTCCTTGTCTCTGGCAGGGCTCTGTAAATACCTGATGAAGAATGAATGATGAATAAATGAGTAAAGCAAGAGAAATAAAGTCCAGAGTCCTTCATTCCAATTTAATGACTTTAGTAATGGATTTAGTGTGAAGATTTTTTTTTAAATATTTGTTATTGGTTTTCATGTAATAATTGCTTTACAGTATGTTTCATTCATATACATTATTTTAAATAGTCTTTCATTTACATTGTGTTTCATACAATCATTCATATACATTATGTTTTACTTTTTTTTTTCCTTGGTTTGGTTACAAAGTTTATATACATTGTGTTTCACTCTATATCTTCATTCATATTGTGTTTCAAACAATCATTCTCAAGCATTATGTTTTATAAAATGAATCACCATTGGACCTGTCCATCTAAACTGTGTAGCCCTGTGTTTTCACACCTACTTGTCTTCACCCTTCTGCTGTCCCTCCCCTCCCTTGAGTTCCTGTACATATTTTACTAGTTATCCCTAGAGTGAAGACTTTTTTGTAATGTAAGTTATTCTTGGAAGCAAGGATTCTGAAGCTTCGTCTGACATAATTTGGACATGTTACAAGGAGGGACCAATCCTTGGAGAAGGACGTCATGCTTGGGAGGGTGGAAGGACAGCACAGAAGAGGAAGACCCTTGATGAGATGGATTGATTCAGTGACTGGGGTAATGGGGTTAGGTGTGTCAGAGAAAGTGAGATTGGCACAGGATAGGACAGGGTTTAGGGCTGTTGTACATAGGGTCGCTACAAGTTATTCTTTATGTTTCTCTTACTGTGTGTTACAGACAGTGTGAATCTTCTTGGCCTTTTCTTACCCTACTTAGTTTTCTTTTCCTAATTTTTTCTATTTAATAGGATACTTTATAAAATATCAAATATATTGCTTAAATATTTTTGAATCTAGAGAAAATGAATGAGAAACTTGGCTTTATTTTACAAAAAGTTATTTTTAGGCTTTTTTTAAAAAATCAGCATCCACATTTTATTCCTTTAAACATTGAATTTATTTTGCTTAAAGGTGAAATTCCTATTGAAGATTATCTGAGAGTTTAGGAGAATTTAATACATGGGAAAGTGTAACAAACTGTTAAAAGTTGCATAAAAGAAAAAGCATTTAGATTTAAGTAAGGGAAAAGTAAGATCTAAGATGTAAACAAGACCTCACAAGAACAATTCCAAAAGTAAAGACTAGAAACCTTTGTCTTTTTCACTTTTTGTTTAGGTATTTCATCTTCACCTCTTTCTGGGCATATAAGATCTACTATGTCTATGGCTTCATGATGCTGGTGCTGGTTATCCTGTGCATTGTGACCGTCTGTGTGACCATTGTGTGCACGTACTTCCTACTCAATGCAGAGGATTATAGGTGGTGAGTATTTCTTAGGACAAATGACGCTAAAGGCTTTATTGAATTACTGGGAGAAAACCACTAACAACCTCAATATTATAAAATAAAAATCTATTGTAAGTGTTTAAAGTAGAGTAAAATTCCTGTATAGAAATCTTACCAGTTAAGATAGGTTGTAGAATCATCTGCTTACCCCAGCTTCTCTCAGTCATAAACCTTGTGATGATTTTAGAGGATAATAAAAATCAGACAGGGATTTTGCTTCATTTTTTTTTTCTTTTCTTGAAGTTCAGTACCATGTTAGAAATATTTTCATGAAGTGTTTGGAGTAGAAAGATCTCAGTGAGGTAGTTTATTTCCATTTTAAACACAAGGAAACTTGATTCTGGAAAAAGGAAATTGCTGACTTAGGTTCAAAATTCAGGATCTTACCTACCAGTTCTTGAGCTCTCTCCTTGTCAGTAGATCTAAATTTCAGGTACATGCATTTGTTTTTAAGTATGCACAATTAACTTGTTTAATATATATTTCTTGTTTGTTTATTATGCTTATTGTAGAACCATTTTTCAAAGGAATTACTTTTTTTTTTAAGGCAATGGACAAGTTTTCTCTCTGCTGCATCAACTGCAATCTATGTTTACATGTATTCCTTTTACTACTATTTTTTCAAAACAAAGTAAGTAGAGACATTTAATATTCATGATATAATTACTCCTCATTGTAACTGATTCAGAATAGAGACATAGTTGATCCTCAAGCGGGTTTTCAAGGGACTCTGAATGTAGTATAGGAGGAGATGGCCCATCTTTCTCCTATGGATCCACTGGTGGATTCTAACTGCTAGCTGCACAACTTTGTGTGGACTGTGCCATCAAAGCTCCATTAGTATGTAGCTGTTGTATATCGTGGAGGCGAAACTGACTCATAGCTGGCCCTCCAGTGGGTTTTCAGGGGCAGTAAATTGCACAGGAGGCGATGACTCTTCTTTGTTCCACAGAGCAGGTGGTGGATGTGAACCATGTACCTTTGAGTTGGTAGCACAATTCCTTGCCACTAAGCCACCAGGGTTCTCTAGTATATAATTAGTAAACAAAATTTATCCTTTAAATACTAAATTTTAGAGTCTATTGAAAGTGAAAGTAGATATACTATACCTATTTTGTTTTCTTTCAGGATGTATGGCTTATTTCAGACATCATTTTACTTTGGCTATATGGCGGTATTTAGCACAGCCTTGGGAATAATGTGTGGTAAGTCCTGACAATGTTGGAATACTCTGAGTAAATCTGAGTATCTCAGAATTAGAAAATATAATAATTGGAAATTAGGAAATTACGTTGTGTCTTTTGATCTAGAATATTAAACTAATCTCTAGAGTCTGACTTTGGCCCTTCCGACTATTCAAAGAAGCTTAATATATTTCCTCACTGATTTTTATCTTTGTTTTCTGTTCCTGATAACTCTGTATTACATTCTTTTCCTTATCGTAATTAGTATTCTTAGTCATGTTGTGAATTGGCTCTTTTATTTAGCCTCGGTTTGTCTAGAAGTACCATGGTGTAGTAGGTTAAGATGTTGGGTAAATGATGCCTGATAGGAAGTTTTTCCAGCCTGTCATGAAGATAAGTTCTTGCTGCTGTGCATGGAGTTCCAACATCTTGGTCAAGTGCTAGTCAGAGTTGTGAGGAGAATTCAGTAATTGTATGTGGGTAACCCTCAGGTGGAGGTAGAAGCTCAGTGAGTGCTAGTTACTGCTGTTAATATTGAGGGCTGCGCTCTGGGGTGTTTCTGTACAGTCTACAGGTTTCTGCACTTTGTATTTTAATCTCAGCAGTTTCTTGGCACCATATCCAGGCAGACAGAGACTCCTGTCTTTTCCCTCTCCTTCCTTCTGGCTCGGTTTTTTTGCTCTGTAAAGTGTGACTGATTTCCTAGTTACCTAATAAGGATGATAATGAGTTAAAGGACTAGTCACCCAGAAACATTTCCAGATAAGAGATCCTTCAGCTGCTGCTCTTTTTCCTGTTATTTGCTGTTGACATAAATAAGAAAAGGAAAAAGATTTACTGCTAGCAGTAACATGGGCAATGAGATAAGGACAATATGGACATCTTGCAAAAGTGGATCTTAGTTTGACATTTCTGGACCCCTTTGGGATGCCAACATTGCATTATTGCTCCATGAAAAGAACTTTATTACATACACGCCATGGATGTGATCATGTCTACAGACACCCACAAATGAAGTGTGACTATAATGTGGTAAAACTGATTGCACAAACATTTGACCTGTGTGATTCCATTTATGCCCAGATTTTTTCCCCCTGTTGCTGTTGTGATGAGATGTACATGTATCCCTTTCAAAAAAATGGGTGAAGCTAAATCATCTCCAAATGAGCAGTTCCTTAGCAATGCTTGAGCTTACCAGTACAGCAGTAGGGTCAGAATCTATACACAAGTGGGCCAACGAATTTCAGACCTAGGCTGTCGAGGGTCAACTGTATTATATATAGTCAGAGGTTTTATTTATAGCTGCTCTAAGGACAATTTCCTCTGATAATTAGTTAATCAACTTTGAGGGAAAGTGTCAAAGGTTAAACATATTTATAAATGTCATGTGGGCATGCCTATCCTTAGGCAGTTGGAGCATTCATTTCATATTACTGGCCATCCTTTATTTTAGAGTATTGCTTGCTGAGCTCCTCTTTATTTTCTCAGAGCTCCCGTGGGCCTTTCTTGATTCTTCACCGACATTCAGTGACGTATAGAATTCTGTAGCTATACAAAAGGTTAGGTTTTGTTCCCATTTGACTTTTTTTATATCTGTTCTTAGGAAAACTTAGAAAAATGTAATACCTTGACATTTACTAAGAAAATGGAATGACTCTAGCTAACAGTATGAAGTACTTTTCCTGTACAACATTCCTCTTGCTTGAAATTCTTGGCACGTTTATAGTTCCCCTGATGTTTTGACTGTGCCTCAGCATTTATTTTTCTTTCTTTTTTTTTTTTAGTGTTTATTTTTCAATGAGTGTATTTTCTATATTTCTTCATTACTAATCTATTTTGGAGTGAGGGGGAGAAGCTGTTTTGGGATTCATGATAATGTAACTATAATGAAATATGTACATTAGTCAGTTTATGTTGCTAGTTTTTTAGTTGTTGATTATTTTTTTCTTTTAATGTAAGGGGGGAAAACCCCAATCGGTATGTTAAGGTAGATAACATTTAGTCTTTTATCTTTATATCTTAACCATAACAGTTTTAAGGGAATTAAATTTAAAAGCATATTTCTATTTTCTTGAGAGCCTGTTCTATCTTATTTAAAAAATATTTTAAAGTTTATTCTTGAGCTCTTAATAAGATTAGGAAAAGTAACTCTCTAGGTTAATACTACTTTGTTTTTAAGCACATCTCTGTTCAAAGGGGAAAAGGTTTTAAAAAGCTAGAACATTTGATTTGGTTATAAGTGTATCTTTTCGTGTGTATGTATAAGAGAAAAAAAGTATAATTTCTGATACGATCAGATGTTTAGTTGATATTCCTATGTCCTCAGTCCAAATATCACTTTTCTTTTAGTATCTAGATAAGGTCCATATGTTACTTGATTGAAGTATCTTTAAAATTGTTTGATCTTTAGGTGTCTGTTATTTTCCCTCACAATTTATTTAAGAACTCTTTTGTGCTCTCTTTCTCTCTTATTCCTGTAGAGTTTTCCACATTCTAGATTTTGTTGATTATATTCCATGGTTGTCATTTAACGTGCTTCTCCATGTGTCTTTCTCCCTCCAATATGTTCTATAAATTGATGATTAGGCTTGATCGTATTCAAGAATACTTGGCCAGGACTATTTAGCAGGTGGTTTGTAAGCTTGTATCAGGCAGTATAGAATGTCTTCTTGTCTGTCTTTGTGAAGTTAGTAACTAGAATGTCTTCTCGTCTCTCTTTGTAAATTTAGTAACCATTGATTATTGCTGCCTAATTCAGGCATTTTATTATAGTATTCTAATTATTTAATAATCTAGGGTGGAGCTGGGAAGTAAGTGGGTCAAGGCACTGGGCTAAGAGGGGGGTCAATACTTTAATGCTTACCCCCACAATAAGGGATTTATCTTTAACTGCTCCACAAATTGCTGTCTGTCAGATACTCCTCTAAATCTGAACATTCAGATCAAGACAGACTAGGAAGAAGGATTGGCCACCCACTTCTGGAATAGCAGGCCTCTGAAAACCCTATGCACA